TGTTTGGGTTTTCAATAATAAATGTGTTTGTCATGTTTTCTACAGTTTGATTTGTTTTATACACAATGTTAGTCTGATGTTTGGTGTGTGTAAGCTTCATAGCTTTAGTAGGAGGTTTGCAGCATTCCTTAGAGAAATGTCCTGTTTTTCTACAATTGAAACATTTTGCTTTTGTTGGATTGAACAGATTTGGCAGATTGAATTTCCTCTGCTTATTGGCTTTATACATTGTATTAATGTGTACATTATTCTTTGTCCAATCATTAGAATCTTGTGCTTGTTTAGCACAGTAATCATTATAAGTGTTCCACAATGTAAGGATTAGTTGCTTCAGTTCAACTTTCTTATGTTCATTGACTGGTTTACCTTTGTTTTGGGCATCAGTAGATTGTATTATTGTATTTACTATGTGTGTATATTGCTTAGGAGTAGTAAGCAATATTGCTGCTTTGTATGTAGAGTTGCATAGTGGATCACTGTTAGCAGACAGAGTTGTGTATGCTTCCTCAAGTCTGTCTAATGTATGTCTGAAATGTTTTACATAGTCTCTACAAATAAACAGTACTGATTTGTTGATAGCCTTTTTACATACTGTCTGAGGGTTAAAGTGTTCTTCAAGTGCTTTCATTAACTGAGGGATAGATGTATTGAAGTGCATATAATTTGCCAATATTGTGTTAGCAATGTTATTGACTATACATGTATGAATAGCCTTAGTCATCTCCCTCTCAGTTTTGTTCTGTGGTTCATCCTTTAGTAAGTGTTCAAAGCATGTAGCTGTAACACTAGAAACAATGTAGTAGTGCCACATCTTGTAGTTTGCTTCAGTTTTAAGCATTGTGATGTTTTGACCAAAGTATTTAGGTACATTAGCTGGTTTACAGTGTGTATCTGTATGTGGGGGAACCATGATGCAAATGTGTGCAAATGTATGCAAGTAAAGAGTTTAGAGTGTACAGTGGATGTGTGTATACAGGGAGCTCAAGGCTCATAACCTGTTAAGAGGGAGAACTTAAGGGGGGCATGCATAGACAAGGG